AACTGAAAATTTATTTCCATGAATTTGCATGGAAACTGAAGAATGATGAAGAACGGCTGAAACTGAATAGCTGAAACTGAAGAAATGAAAACTGATTTTTTCACTCATTTTTCATTCATTTCCAACATATTCATCTCACCTATCCCCCACCCACGTACCATTTCAAAATCCGTAACTAAATTTTCTTTCACTACTGATTCTCTCTCTCTCTCTCGCATCTCCTCCTCTATATCTCTCTCTCTCTCTCTCCATCCATCATCTTCCTTCTATCCTCATTTTCCACCTACAACCAACGTGGAGTAGCATCGCCGGGGTCGAGTCGCCGCAACTACAACCGTGACGATTTGGCCACAGGCGGTTGAGTTCGCTGCAGACCCACCACTGCTCGTCTACCATCGTCGCCGGAGGCATGCCGTTGCTACAAGTAGCAACGCACTGTAGTTGATTGGATCTGGTTTTGGATGTGCGCGATGATGCTTTCGTGGCTACAATCGATGGGATATGGCTAGGTGGTGGTGATGTGTGGTTGTGCTGACGAGGTGGTTTGGCGGTGTTTGTAGTGGTGTCGATGGCGGGTGGATTGAGGGACGAGTGTTTGTGATTTGCTTTAGCCTTTCTCTTCGTAGATTTTCTCATTTCTCATTATAGAGATGGTGATGGTGGTTGTTATTGAGGATGCAGCGGTGGTTTGAAAGCTGCGGTGGTGATGTGGGTTGTCGTGGTTGATGGCGGTAGAAAAAAATTTAGTGCAGAACAATTAAAATCAATTATTTTATGTCGATCTACGCAGTAGATTTGATTTTTGAATTGTTGGAGTTTGTTGGTGGTTTTTTGATCCAATTTGCTGTGGTGTGTGCAGATTGTTCATGGTGACCATTGTGACCAAATATGTGCTTATTGTGACCAGTTGTGACCGATTTTGACTTGAAATTTTGGAAAGTTTTGGAAGTTGGGAGTGGGTGGATGGTGTGGATAGGTTGATCGGAGCATGCGTTGGAGTGGTCATTGGAGCAATTTGCCGGAGGGATCATCTAATAGCCGCCGGAGCGGGCGTCGGGGTGATCGTCAGAATAGTTGTCGGATTGATCGACGGAAAGTAATCGGAGCGGCCACCGGAGTAATCGTCGGAACAGTTACCGGATTGGCGCCCTAGCCGATGGCCGTCTCTGGTGGAGAGGTGGAGGGAAGGTGGCGTAGTGGGGTGATAGGATGGGGTGTGTGAGGTGACATGAGTGAAAATAATTAATGTATATTATATTATATTTTAATATTTAATACATTTATTAAACACTTGATTTTTGAAAAGATTTTTGGAGTTTGTTATTTTTGAAACATAATTCTTATATGTAGGATTTATGTATTGTTCCCTTAAAAAAAGTGATTTTGACTGGGCCCAAAGTTTAGTGCAGGCCTGTGCCTTCACTGTTCCCTATCGGACTCTGCCCCTGCTAGTGGTAATGCTGGTTTTGATGCTAGTCAAATTGCAGAAGTGAAAGCATGGCTCATTTCTCAATTTGATTCAGCTTGGAAAGATCTACCCAATTTCGAGTACACCCTACAGAGCACTGCTCATTTACACAAGATTGTCACTCTTTCCCAAGCCAAAACCCATGCTGCCACCATAGTCCGAAATGACTTTCGTAAAAAAGCCACAAAGTATCGCTCCCAATTTCCTACCATCTACTCTAATATTAAAAAATACACATATTTTAGACTGCAATTATTTAGGTTTCTGCTGGCTTATGGGAAAAAAATGTTCTAGCTTTCTTGTAGCAATGACTGATTTGTCTCTGAGAAAAATTGCAATTGAAGAGAAGAAGGCTAAAGTACAAAAGGAGTCCAAAGAACTTCTTGATTATATTCGAAAGGCAATATCAAGACTGACCTATTTGAAACGATGAAATCCACGATTTCTCTTTTTCTATAAAGAAAATTTAGGTTTGTAAGTGTTATACCCTAAGTCCAATAAACTTTGG